GGGGGGGGCCCCCCCCCCCCCCGGAACCCCTGGCTTCACAAAGTGGGCCCCACAGAGAAATGAGTAGAGCCAGGCTGTGACCATCGGGGTGCTCAGAGGTCAGCCTCCATGCACTTCTCCAGCTCCTTGAGTTTCTTGACGAACTCTTGGGCCTCTTTGTTTGTGCGGCCTTCTAGCATCCGCAGTGCAGACCTCACTGTAGGTGGATATGAGGAAGCCAGATGGGCATGAGGAAGTCAGTTTGGACCAGGCCCGCCACCCTCAACCCCATGGATTCTCACTCACCCTGGGCCCTGGGCCTGCGCAGGTGTAGTGTGATGGGCTGCCCGGGTCTCATGCCCCCTCCCACATGTGGCCTTGTGATGCCACTGATACCACCTAGGCCAAGGGCTGCCTCCCCAGCAAAGTCATTGGTGGACAGCCAGTCGTGATCCATAACCGTGAACAGCACACAGGCCCCGCGGCGGCGGCATGCCTCTGCAGGCACAGAGCTGTAGACAGGGCAGTCAGGAGCCTGCTGCAGCCATATGGCACAGGCATGGGGCACAGCAGGCCAAGCAGGCACTCACAAGTGGAAGAGCTCATCATACACCGGGTGCAATGTCCGGGCTTTGACTTGGGTTCTCTGGCTGCGGACCAGTGGGAAGAGGTGTGGTGGGCCAAGCTCCACAATCACAAAGGGGTCACTCAGGCCTGGAAGATACAGTGTGAGCCAAATGTCTCCCCGGCCCCTCACCCCTGATGCTGCTGCTGCTGCGCCTCACCATTGGCATCCAAGGGCAGCAGATCGGCCGCGTGCAGCACCTCCACAGCTAGCCGCTGCTCAGCTGCCTCGTAATGACATCGGACAGTCAGGCGCCCAAACCGGTTCTGCTCCAGAGACCTCTGTGGGAAGGGCCAGTGGGAAAAGCCAGTGAATGAAGCTGGGTCTCAGAGCAGGCCTGTGGGTAGACAGTGACGTCCCACCTGCTTGAGCTTGTCCAGGTAAAACTGCTCGATGCACTCTCGGGTGGAGCATTTGTGTAGCCGCAGCTCCTCCTCCAGCCTCTGCAAGGGAAGCTGGCACTAGTAACTCTGGTCCCTGGCAGGCCAGCCAGTCATCTGAGCTGCCTCATGGCCATCTGGTTTCACCAACACAAGGATGCCTACAACAGGGCTGCAGGCTGAACTTGTTCCTGCAGAAGGCTCAGCTCAGCCAAAAGCTCACCTTGTAGCTTCCATCCCTCAGGTTCTCCAGGGGCAGCCCCTGGCCCTCAGCATGGAAGAAACTGACCAGAGCCTACACAGGGAAGAGGAGGGGCTTGTCAGAGCCCTGACCTGTGCTGAAGAGCGGTAGGTTTGGGGAGCACTGGGTCTCAGGAGCTAAGGCAAAGCCACTTCTCAAATCTGAGACACCTCAGACATCCCAGGAGGCCTAGGAAATGCCAGCACCTGAGGCCAGACAGCCATGGGAACAGGTGTCCTACAGTATTTGGGGCACAGTGAAGAAGAGCTGCTGGTAGAGCTGTGGAGTGCCCAGGCAGGCTTAGTATCCTATAGGGGCAGCAGGGAGAGGGCTTTGGGGAGATGGACCTGGGAGTTCCTTGTGACCCTACCTCGAGTGTGAAGTGGAAGCGTCCATAAAAATCAGCAGAGACATCTCTGTTTGCACTCAGTGCCTGCAGTATGGCCTGAAGCAGCAGCTCCCAGAGGGCCTCCAGCACCCTGGAGGAACACCATCTCGGTGACTCCCTGGGCCAGCAACCACCCCAGCTACCCCACAGCCTAGCTGGTACCTGTTCAGGTTCTCTTTCACCAGTGAGTCATTCAGCAAGGCCAGCTTCTCATCTAGGTACTTCAGGAGTGGGGCTACAGCCTGTAGGCAGGAGTCCTCAGGGTTGGTCAAATGACTTAGCCTGCCCCTAGCGTATATCTGCACTCCCTGCTCATCCCCTCCGCTTACCTCATCATTCTGAATCGAGTCAGGGGACAGACTGATGTGCTGTACATACTTCCTGATGTCTGCCACCATCTGAGAGAGGGGTGGTGCTCAGAACAAGAGTGGGGATTCAAAATTTGTCCCCACATGGCACAAGTCCCGGGCACCACCCCTCTACCCACCTTGGAAGTCAGATGTGCTGTCACAGTGTGGGCCTCCCTCTGGAGATCTTCATCCAGGGCCTGAATGCAGCTGAGTAGAGGGCGGGGGAGCACTCCCTCCAGCCCATTGGCCCCTTCAGGCCATGCCAGGCCTCTTAGTGCTTGCCCTGAAGCTCTGCGTACCAACTCTACATTGTTGAGCACCACACAGAGCTGGGAAGGTATGACCAGAGGCAGCTGGGCAGCCGTCAAGGGAGTGGGAGGGTGACCCCATCCAGCCACCTGCTGGCCTCACCTGACACGCAGCCACCCACCTGTTCACTCACTGCTTCCCCAGCAGCCCCTGGCTGGGTGTCCACCTTCTTCCTCAGCAGTTCGGTGTAGAAGAGGGAGGCCTCACACATGTCCTAGAGCAGAGATGGGCTGGGAGCTTGGGACCCTGGCCCTGCCCCATCTCCTGATCTACTCCCCACATATCCTCAGCCCATGTACCTGGCTGAGCTGAGTGCCTAGCCCCTGGGCCTGGGCAGGGTCAGGCCAGGCCAGGCGGACCCAGAGCTCCTGGATGTGGCTAAGGCAGAGGCTGGCGGTAGCTGCAGAGCTGCTGTGTTTGGAAGCGGCATCCACAGGCTCCAGCTACAAAGGCAGGAGGGGCTGACATTGCAGGGGTTCGGGGATGAGCCAGCACCATACAACCGAGCACACACTCACCGTGTCTACATCCACAGCTCCCTGCAGGCGCCACTTGGCCTGATCCCTCAGCACCTGCAGCCAGAGCTTCACGGCTGGCAGAAACGGAGTGTGGATGCCAGCCAGGGCTAAGGAGCGGCTTTCCCTGCAGTGAACACTTGCTCAGAGCCCATCAGGACTCACATACCTTCACCCAGAGCATACCAATTCCAGGTAGGGCACTCACCGTCCAGGAATGCAGCTCCAGAAGCGCTGGGTATCTGCCAGGGTCAGGTAAAGCTCAAAGAGCCCTGAAGCCACCTCTAGGTTCATCTTGGGGCTCAGCTCCTCTGTCAGTACCCATGCCTCCTCAGCCACCTGCCTCAGATGGTGGGATTGATTAGGCCACTGCCAAAGTAAATCTAGGGACCCTCTTAACCAGGGACTTCTCCCTGGTCTCCAGTACCCACAGGCACCCAAGATAAGGGACTCCCCCCTCACCAGACGTTCCAGCTGCCGGAAGGTAAGGGTGAAGAAGTCCACCTTAAGGATACTGCAAAAGACATGCCTCAGCCACCTGTTTCCCACCAGCCAGCCCAACCCAGCCCGTTCTGGCCTAGTAGCAGCATCCAGGGGAAGGGCCTACCCATGGAAGAGGCTGGCGTAGACCCCATAGCAGGACTGCAAGTCCTCATAGATGATGTCTGCAAGCTCAACAAGCCCTGCTAGGCGCTGCGGCCCCGGCTGCAAGAAAGCCAGGCTTGGAGTGACCAGTGTACTCCCTGAATGCCCTGTGTCGTCTCCAAACCATGCCACCCAGATCCACACCTGCTCTCGAGGACTCTTGGTGTTCAGGAGCTGGTCATACCACTCACGGTTGCCCCGCTGTAGCAGCAGCCAGTAAAGCAACACAGTGGATTGAAGACAAGGTCAAATTAAGCAGCTGCGGACAGCAGGGCCTGGCAGGGGCCAAGAGAAAGAGGGCCAAGATGAATGCAGACACACCTTCAGGGCAGCAGCAATGTCCATGTTGAGCTCTGTCTCGAAGGGACAGATCTGGAAGGCCGGTTGGAAAAGCTGCAGCTTCTCAAGGCACCTGGTGAGGACAGACAGCTGAGGAGGCCCCACTCCAACCCCAGCCCTCCAGCCCCCTAGTCCTGCTGTGCTACACCCACTTTAGTAGCAACTCCAAGCGATACACAGCTGTGCTGTTGGTGGCAGGGAAGTAATCTCGGAGCTGGCGCAGCAGCCTCAGCCCAAACTCAGAGAAGGCAGAAAAGCTGTCAGCTAGGCTCTCCTCCTGTAGGGAGTGGGTTCTTCCGTCAAGACAGGGACAAAGTCCAAGGCAGTTTTGCTACAGACACTAAAAAACCACTGCTTCACGTAGCTGGCCCAGTCCCTTTCCAACTGCCTGCCCCACTCTCGACTCCCACAACTCTCCCCTCCCCGCACCTATGAGCCACAGTGCCTTCATAGCTCCTGTCCCCTCTGCTCCATACTGCCAGTGCCCATTTGCTCCTGCTGCTCAGACACTTGCCACCTCAGAGGCTTGCCCCCAGCCCAGGCTGACCTTTGAAATGGCATCCGTCCAAAGTTACTCCATGCCACCACCACCTCCTTACTGCACAACACTCGCCCATATCATGTGTTTCCTGTTCTCAAACCCTATGAGGGCAGGTCTCTGTCTCTTGGCTCCCAGTGAACTCTTTACCAATAGCACACAGACCTGTAGCCATGCCTGTGCCCACCTGTTCCTGGGGTAGTGAAGCCGCCTCCTCCCAGTGTGCCTGCACATCTTCCAACAGCCCCAGCAGGTAACCATAGTCCAGGGTGCGCATCTGATGGTGGCGGCTACTGACTTGCCAGTGCCTATAGGAGCCCAAGCTTGTGGTCTGCTCTTGCATAGCAGGTCCCACCCCACAGCATTGTCGTTTCCCATGCTCCACCCACTTACAGCCTTCTCAGGAGGCTCTATTCACAAGGGCCACCCTGCCTACTCACAGCACTGCCAGCTGCAAGGGTGACAGATTGCTTTGGGCTCCATGCAGACAAAGGATTGTGGTCCCAGGCCCACTAAGCTCACCACGCCAGTTGCTGGAGTTTGGCTGGAGAAGAAAGCCAGGGTGGGCAGAGGCCAGAGAGACTCTCCATCATGCTCTGGGCCCCTTATTCTTACTCAGCAGCCCAAGGGCACCCACTACCTCCTCCACTCGATGCTCAAACCAAAGCACACGGCTGAGGAGCAACAGGTAGGACAGGAAGCCCGAGCGTCCACGCTGACTCATAGCAGTGTCCCTCTGGAAGGCAGAACCTGAGGTCTGTCATCAGTTCTGTCTGAGCCCTGCAGGCAGGGGTGCAGGTGTGGCTCCCGTAGCTTCCCACCTGAGTGGTGATCAGCTTGAGGACCAGGTGGCAGTCTCCCTGCACACGGGAGGCACTGGAGCGTGGTTCCAGTTTAAACCAGCGGTCAGCACCTGCCACAGGCACCTCCTGAGAGGAGCAGGGTAGGAAGGTATAAGACCTCAAGACTCTGCCCCTTCTCCCGCCTATAGTCATAAAGGGCTCAGTGGTAGGGTGCTTTCAAACCCCAGAAAAGACAAAACAAAACGAGCTACCCTCTGGGACCCTGCAGAGAAGGGAATGCCAAGGAGGTGCCCGGCGCAGCCCACCTCCTCCAGCCCCAAGAGAGTGGGATGCTCTATGGGAATCACAGGACATTGCCTCTGGAGATGCCCAAGACCTCTGGGGCACTCCCACACACCCACCAAGGATCCTAGTCCCCATGCACATCTAATTAGTGTTCCCTGGGTGGCTCTGTCCCATCCCTCCCCACACACCCTGATAGGGATGTTGAGGCATCCCAGGAAGTCATCAGTGTGGTCCTCGGTGGGCCCTGATGTACCATTTGCACGGGCTGACTTGACAATCTGTTTGAAGTATCTGGGCACAACAGGGCGGACAGCAGGGCGGTATCACTCTGGTGGTCCTGGAAAGCCACTGGCCCCTATGGCTAAGCTGCATGCAGGTATAGGGTCATGACTCCCCACCTCCCCCACCTCATACCTGCTCATGCCCTTCAGGCCAATAACTTCATTCAGCTTCCTGCACGCTTCTGCCAGGGATACATCATCGTCGTGGTCCCTGGAGGTGGAAGATGGTTTGACTGGAGTCCCCAGAGCAGCTCTGACCCTGCCCTCCCATCCCTCCCCAAACCAGAGGTGCCGCCACCCCCACATGCTCTGCCAAGATTAGGGTCCTCTACCAGATGTCCAGGTGCAGCTGGTCTGTGTTGACATCCTCAATTTCACTGCAGAGAAGACAGAGAAATGCCTATGAAACTCCCAGACCACATCTGGCCAGGGTTCAGGCAGGAAGATGTCCAAGAGCAACAGGTAGTGGCCATTTCTCCACACAGACTACTGGGCTCACATCCTAACCTCTACTTGCTACCAGTATGTGGTCACAGGGACACCACGCCTGTGGGTCTTGGAAAGTGGATGTGTCACCAGTCCCTCATAAGAGTTGCCTGGGGCAGCAACAAGTGCTCATCATTTGGGGTATTTGGCTATCATCAGGAGCCTTACAACAGGAAGTGTTCCTTCCAGACAGGATTCAAGGTGCTGCTCTTGACCTCGGTGACCTGGATACACTTGGCGGGCAGTGGGCTGCTACGCTTGCTGCCCTTGCGGAAGCCAAAGCGCTGCTCCTTCTGCCCACTTGACTCCTGTGGGGCACTTGAGGCCGGCAGGATGCCCAGCATGCAGTACGGGTCACTGAAGCCTGAAATGGAGCAGCTGCCTCAGCCCTTGGCCCTCATGTTCTCCACTGTCCACAGCTTCCAGAAACAGCCGCCAGGCACTGTGAGGTCCTGCCAGATACCCACTCACCATTGGGGTCTTTAGCCAGAAGGTTCTTGGCACGCATGACAGAAACTTTCAGGACATATGTGGGAGCCTGCAGACAGAAGGGCACTGGGGCACTTCACAGGACTAAGCATCCGCAACATGCATGTTACAGTCCCCACTTTTCCTGCCACCCTGGTGTCCTTTCCTGCCACACAGACACTGCTGCTGGCCAGCCGATATCTGTCTGGGTGTGCATAGCCTCACCTTGGCTTTCTTCACACGTGCAATGGCCTCCATGTGTTCTTCAGAACTGGTGCCAAACACCTGTGGGTGGTGGACAGGTAAGTAGGAGCCTGGGGAGAGGCTGGCGCTGTCTGGGGGTCTCAAGGAATGCGCACAGGGTGAATGTCCCCCTGTCCTACCACACGGAAGGTCACTGCCCCCTGGGGCTGTGGTTCTGAGCACTCAGAGGAGTGAGCAGGTGAGGCATGGCACAAATAGAGTTTGTGGTGAGCAGGGCAGGGACAATTCAGAGCATAATCCAGGGGGGAGGGAATATGCCCTCTGACTACTCCACCCTCCTCTGAGTACCAGTCGGTCCTTTCTAATCATGTCTGTGTTATCTGTCTTGCATCCTCTGCACCTGTGTCAACATGTCTACCCAGGTCTCCACACACTGGATATTTCACCAATGTACACTGGTGTGTGCATTTTGTGTTGTCATCTAGGTGATAATGGCCCGTGTGTGTGTGTGTGTGTGTGTGTGTGTGTGTGTGTGTGTGAGTGTGTGTGTGTGTGAGTGTGTGTGTGTGTGAGTGTGTGTGTGTGTGAGTGTGTGTGTGTGTGAGTGTGTGTGTGTGTGAGTGTGTGTGTGTGTGAGTGTGTGTGTGTGTGAGTGTGTGTGTGTGTGAGTGTGTGTGTGTGTGTGTGTGTGTGTGTGTGTGTGTGTGTAAGTGCACGCACACATCTCAGTCCTCCCCAGAGTAAGGCAGGGTGGGTGGGGCCCAGGGGTCCTTCTCACCTGCTGAATGTAGCTTAGCAAGACTTCCTCATCATCTACCTGGTCGGGGCCCATGGTGCCTGCCCGATGGAGGACTGTGTATAAGGCCTCCTCGTAGAGCATCTCCACCTTCAGGAAACAGGCCCTGAGTTCCCAGCCACAGCAGAGCATCTCAGCCCCTGCTCTACCCTTCTGGTGCATCAGCCCCAAGCAGCTCCTCCCACCACTGAGTGGATCCCCAGCCTCTGCTCCTGCTCACCCAGCTGCACTACCCACCTGTAACCAGACCATGGGCCCTACAATCCTGGAGAAAGGAGTTACAGTCACTCCCTGGGTTTAGACACCCCTGACACCCATTACCTCCTCCTGGGTCAGGGCTCTCATGCCACGGTTGGGGTCCACAGGCTCAGCAGGGGCTGGGGAACCACTTCGCAAAAGAACCTGTGAGGGAGCGTGCAGGTGAAGGTCTGTGAAGGTCAGGAGCTGTCTGCAGCTGTCCCCAGACCCTCTAGCTTGCTGCATGAAGGTGCTCCAGGGAGATGAGAGGTCAGAGGTTTGAAGTGAGGGGTCAGATAGGACCTAGGACAGTAGCCTTGCTGAGTAGCAGTCCCTAGACCATTTAGAAATGGAGCCCTTACCTCAGGGCATGGCAGGCCCTGTCTGCCATCCCCCTTTTTCAGGATGAGGCGCATGTGGGCGAAAAACTCCACACCATCCCCGGGTTTCCTGGAAGAAAGCCTGGGTCAGGACATGATTCAAGGAACCATGGATCAAGGGGACAACCACAGTGTTCTTGGCCTTGAGCTCAGACCTCCTGGTCCCTCTTCCCGCCCAAGTGGATTGGCACTGGACATCGAGTGAACAGGCCAGTAGTGAAGGGAGGCCAGGCATACGTTCCCTGCAAAGTCAGCCGTAGGGTACCCACCAGGCTCCTGTGGGAGGCTCCTGTGAGTCCGTGCCTGTGCTCTCGGGCTCCTGCTCTGTCTTGCGGCGGAAGGAAGGGCACACCTGCACCTGCCTGAGCACGCTGCTTTTGATGTCCAGCAAGGTCGACATGGCAGCCACCTGCAGTGAGCACAACATCAGTTTGCCCACTGCTTTCTCACTGCACCACTGAAGCCCATGGGTCTGACACCACCCTGCATTGTGCTGAGTCCCTGGAGGTGACTCTATGGATTCTGCTGCCACACTGGACAAGTGACCTTTGTGTCCCTTGTACAGTGGCCCTAGGATGTAGTGACAGATACCCTCATATGGGAGTGTCAGACACAGCGTTGGTTCTGTGAGAAAGTACTGCTGGGACCTCAGTAGAGACAGGTGTGTTCTGCTCCCACATCCAAGGCCAATGCCCCAGCTGAGCCCCAACCACCTAGGGCAGCGTGACAGAATGTGTTTCCTGTGTCCTCACCAATACCCTTGTCCAATTGGGGCCAGGACAGATACTACCCAGGCCTTTTCCACAAGAGGCTAAGCAGTGAGTCAGGGCATGAGTCTGTGGTTTGGCCCTTAAACCCATGAGTCCAGGGTAGGGTTGGCACCTGTCCCGGAGGCCAGAATGCCCAGGAGGGAGCCGTTCTTTGGTCCTGATGCACATCTAGCACAACATAAGGGGCCAGTACCCCTGAAGTAGAATTATCACCCACAATCAGTAAAAAGAGCATGAAGCTCCCGTGTCCATTGGGGAAGGCTGAAAGTGTTCAGCTGCATGCCAAGCTCCCTGTCTATTAGTCATTGAATCAGTTGCCTGCCTGTTGCTGGGGCAACCAAGCTATCCTGCTGCATCCTGCATCCTGCCAAAGTGGCCTGGCTGTCATCTCTAGGAGAGTGGTCTTCCAAACTGCAAATAGAGTCTAGGCCCAGGCTAACACTGACTCTGACCCTGTGGCTTCCCCTCAACCATTCCACTCTGAACTTGAGGTTCAGGGGTGGAAATGTATGGACTGAACCCATCTGTAGTCCTGGTAGGTGGCTGGGACATCAGGGATCACAGTGACAGTTCTGAGATTGAATACCCGGAGGGCACCCTTCTCTTTGGGGTGATAGACTGAGGATCATCTGAGAATCTCTGCTTCTCTTATGCTTCATGAGTTACCAGTCCCCACCTACCCACATTAGGGAGGAAGAGCTGGCAGTATTCACATCTGCATAACCTTCAGCAAGGGCTGTTTACTCTGCAGATCCCAAATTGAAGGGCAGTGTGGCACCTGGGATACCGTGGCCTTCCATCCATTTCATTACACCACCCTGTCATCCCCCACCCTGGGCACACTTATGGGTCTGGGTTCCCTTTCTTTCCTGAGAAACACTATCCCTCATCTAGGCCATCTCTGTCACACAGCACCCATCCCTTGGGGTCCCTGTCTTGCTGGCCACATTAACAATAAATATACTTATGTCTATACCTGCCATCCACCATAAGACACTGGAACTCATATACCCAGTTTCATTAGTCCTAGCAAGGGGAACTTGTCACTCGCATTTCAGAAGACAGGAAGGTTCTGCTCCTGGCCCAGGGTCTCAGGGCTGGTCTGAGGTTGCAGAGCTTCTTCTGTCAAAGAGCCTGTCTGTGGTGAGAAGCTCTCCATCTTACCTCTCTTCCCACTATTCCCACTTGTTCAGGCCAGCACTCCTCAGGGGTGCTGCATTCTGACCCCTTTGCTCCAACCAGTTCCTATCTGGTGAGACTCCAGAGCGTCAGGTGTGAAGGAGGCCAAGTGACTGCACCCTGAGGGGAAGCCCCACAAACCTCCTCCCAAATATGGGGGCCCAGCAAACCAGTCCTGAGGTCCCAGGTGGCCAAGTGTCACAGGCCCAGCTCCTCTCTAACTCAAGGGAGGGGCTGCTCCCCCTGCACTCCAAGCCAGGAAAGCTGCTGCTTCTTGAGCTGTTGCCAAGGCAACCGTCAGCTGCATCTATGTGTAATGGGTCTACGGGGGCTCCCAGTTCCAGAGACAAATGTGACGCAGAAGCAAAGTAACCCTGACAGCACAGGAGCTAAAGGATGAACCTCTGCCCTCGCTCAAACAAGGAAACAGGTGTGGCCTTGGGAACTTGCCCAGGGTCACTACCAGCAGGTGGTATCCTGGGATTTAAGGCTCTGCTGTGCAAACACTGTATTTTCCTGTGGTGTCCTGAGCTTGGGTTCATCTGTGCACCCCTAGAGTCTGTTGCTAGGATGAGGCCAACAGCAGTATGTCAGTACCAGTCTCCATAAGAGCTGGTTCATCCTGATACCCAGAAACAGCTCTGGTCCCCTTAGAAACCTCCGGCTACCTCAGCAGCTGTTAAGTTCTCTGACCCAATAGCCCAGGATCCGAGAGATGGCTGTCAAAGAGGCCTCTGACTGTACCCAGCAGGGGCCTCATTATTTACCTCTACTATCACAAGTCTGGCATTTGACTACTGCCCATGGATTTCTGGAAACATCAGCCTGCAGAGGGCAGCAGTGAGCTAAGGGCAGAGCTAGCCCCAAGCCCCACCTTCTACACCAGTCTTTCTGTCCTCTATTTCACTGTTCTCCTGGGCTTCAATAGTAGCACATTAGGATATACCCACAGCCTTGGTCATACCCAGTCGCTAGTGCGAGAGTCATAGCTCCCAACTGTCTAGTAAGCAAAGGAAGGACCAGCCAGGAAGCTCTTTCTGTATGAACTGGGGGCTAAGCCAAAGTTAGTCACCTCATTCCTGTCTGTGACTGGTGCAAGCTGTGCAGAGGCAGGATTTAACCCAGGACTCCTACCCTAAGCTGTCACCTACTAGCCAGCCATTTGAAAATCTGGTGGCAATGAGGAAGAGAATTTAAGGACAGCTTAGGAGAGGGGTGGAGGGGTCTTCCTAGGCTCCCAACCCACAGAAGCACTAGAGTGCTGAGGAGGACACCTTTAGTACATATGGATCTCTGGAAACTGGGGCAGATTAATGTGATACAGTGGCATCCGGGGTCTCCCCACCTGACCCCTCAGACCCTTCTCAAGTCTTCCTGAATTCTCAGATCTCCCCCATGGCCCCAGAACCTCCCTGACTTCCCCTCCTCCATGTAGAACAGTGGCCCAGTACAGCTCATCTGGTCTACCAGTTACACATGTTGCTCAGGCGTTCATTCCTCCCTGATTTCCCAAAGAGGAACCAGGGGATCTGCACTTTGATCTCTGTAAGTGAACTAGAGCTTCTCCAGTCAAGGCCAGCAGCTGGTGGATTCTCTCCACGCCCCAATGATTGAGAATGGTCCAGGAGCCTTACCTGCTACTTACCTGTCTCTGTTGAGTTGTTCCAGATAGGCTGTTTTTGGTGATGGGGAGGGGGGATTGTGGTTACCCTCCCCGGTTCTATTGCGGTTTCTACCCCTGGAAGGCAGGAGGTCCAGGGGAAGTATGTGTAATCTCTCTCTCTCTCTCTCTCTCTCTCTCCCTCTCTCCCTCTCT